TAGTTATCTGACTTTAATAGGCTTCATTGTATAAAACATGGTCAGAATTGTTTTGGGTTTTTTAAGCATTTATGGGTTAAGACATATTAGAAGATCTTTTTACTAATGAAGTATAAAATACCATGGAAAGGTATTTAAGTGTAAGAAGGACCTGTTCCACACTAGTAACAATTCAAAAAGAAAACCAGCCAGAACGTGTGTATTTGATATCACATCACGTACTTAAAGGGAAAAGCCTCCCTTTTTTCCTCTCAGAAGTTTTACAAAATAGCCTCCATTATAAATAATGGGTATTTTTGTACTCATCAGTAGATTAGTTGGCACACCACATTACTCAGTCGATCTTTCATAAATTAGGTAGCAGTTCAAAGGTAAAATTCTCCCTGGATTGTCTGTGTTGCTTATCATTTACTTTGATGGTAGAAATGTTTGGGGTTTTTTAAGATGAGGTGCTGTGTTTTAGTGCATTAAAGGAAAGGGAGTCCCCAGATCAACTGCAGGAACACAAGAAAGTTTACTTGAATATAAATCTACGTGATTACAGGCTACAGTTTAAGACTTTATTAATAAACTTCAGTTTGCATAGGTATAAACTTTATGGTGGCACACAAGTTAGCAAACAATTCATTATCAGTGTGCCAGCAATGTTACCATAAGAATCCCACAATCTCTGTTAAAGTGAATGGATTCGTTCAATACATGCTGTTCCTGTAGTAGTCTGGCACTTCAGGTGCCACTCCCACAGCTTTGTCATCTTGAGCAACCTGTAAAAATTTTTTTAATAAAGATAGCGGGAGAACATGAGGATTCTGCTGGAAAGGATGAACTCAAATTTCAACTTTCTTACTTGCTTCTGCTTCCACCCCATCTTCCCAGGTTCTGTATTCCAGTTTGGAAGTAATACTGCTAATTTCAGCTTTCCAAATAGCCCAGGAGTATTCACTTTTGGTGCAAATCATCCTGCACCAGCAGCTCCTGCACAGCCTTCTGGCACTTCAGGATTTTCGTTCAACCAGCCTCCAGCATTTACAGTGGGGTAAGAGACCGTATCAGAATTTCACTTGAGCTTCGGGTAATATCAGTGGACAGTGTTCAGCCTCTACTGCTGTTAAATCTTGAGGTGTTCAGATGAACCTCGGAGTTTGAAACTAAATTTGGCACCCTTCCTTGTATTGGCCTGACTGGCTAACTAAGCAACGGTATCTTTAAAGGAGCCTAGCTGTCAGGAATATCACACATCAACACATGTGAGATTGTCTTGTTCTTGAGAGGTAAAATCCGTATCCAGCCCTTATGCTGCTGCTTACCTTCTGAATAAGAGAGATTTAATTGGTTTTGGTTTCTGGAACTCTCTTCCTCCTGTTCATCATTTGCCGTTTGTTGCCAGCTGGTAACTAGTGAGACAAGACTATGAAACAGTTGTTCTGGAATATCTACTCAGTGCTGCTGCTGAATTTTCAGCTACACTGTCCTAAATTCTGAACTACTAATTTCTTTTGATAGGACTAATGGGAAAAATGTTTTCTCTGCCTCTGGATCTTCAGTTGCTGGTCGGAAGATAAAGACTGCAGTTAGACGTAGAAAGTAAACGCCTGATTGGTAAAACATCAAAAACATTGGAAGCAGCTACTACCCTGACTTGTTCAGCTTCTACCCTGACTGAATTGTTCAGCTGCTACCCTGAATTGTTCAGCTACTACCCTGAATTGTTCAGTTATTGGGATTGTACCTCACACTGGCTTATCGGAAGTCAGATCTGCCTAAAGGAATATAAAACCTAGCTTTCCTGTCCTTCCCTTCCCTCTCCCCGTTACATTTTTCGGTAGCAAGTAAAGTTGGCAACAAGGCTGTTCTCAAGCAAAAGTCTCAAGTTACTTCTTTCACTGACTCGGCATGGTCTGGCCGTAGCCCTGAGTAGAGCCTGCACAGTGAATGGCTTGTACAGTACCTCTTCATCCGCACCACTACGTGCGCTCATCCGCGTTTACTGACGCCTCGAAATTGTAATTATATCAGCGAGGGATGCTGTATAGAGTAGAGAATGTTGATAATGAATGATTTCTATGCTGAGTTTGTGCTGGTGTATGTGTGAAGTGAGTGAGTTTGGGTGTATCGTGCACTAAAATTTTCTGATAGAGGAAGACTGATTTAAGGATGATCCATGCTAAGGACTTGTTAGATCTGTAGTTCTTCATTTAATAATTATATGCTATTTCTATATTTTCATTCTTACAGCCCTTTATCACCTGTCTCGCCTTGTTATTTTATTATGAAACATGTGTAAATACAATTTTGTTTCTCTATGTACTTTTTGGCATAACAAATCTGTGAAATGAAATTTTAATTTTGTGTGTTACGGCCATTTTTGTTTAGTATTGTCTCAGATTTTATGTAAATCCCATTATTCAAAGTTGCCTAAATCCATTTAGAAAATCTTTAAAATTGGGAATTCTTAAAGTAAGTTTATTGGCTTTTCTGATCCATTTTTGTTTGGACCAAAAACCAGTATTGTACAAAGTATTAAGTATATATTTTTATATTTACTGAAATGGACTGTGGTGACTTTGGATAATAAGGAAAAGTTTAATATTAAAGCCATGTTTATTACAGTATAATTAACATGTTAAACCATGGGATAAATGCCATCAATAAAAACTGCGAAATACGATCTGGCAATTTTACCTCTCCATAAAGGCATCTGCAGCTGTAACTGTATGACATGGTTACATCAACCTGAGCAGTGTCACATGCTTTCTTCAACCTCTGCTTTTCCACAGTGTCACTGATTTTACAGGACCTTAAATAAGTTAAAAGGTCTCCTGTTACAAAGGAGAGTTTTATTGTAGACTGAAGCTTGGAGCAGCTTATCAGTGTGTCAGCTGACTGCAGTTCGGTTTTTTATAATGCTATTAAAAAAAAAGTTACAAACATTCACCACTGTCCTAAAATGAAGAGGAAAAGGTACCCCCAGTTGTAAATGAGTAATGAGGGGGTTTCCACTTCTGTAGCAGTTAAAGGAACTTCTTGGAGAGCAAACATTATTCTAGTAAAATCAAAGGAAATGCTTGTTCATCTGGGGACCCACCGCTGAACTTTGTACCAAGTCACAGCGTTCAGTGTATGACTGAGATACAGTTTCTTCCTTCACCAGAACACGGCTCACCCCTCCTACGTCTGCAGGTGCCGAAGGTACAAAGTGAGATGAGTTTGTATGCATGAGCTGGACTTGACAGCAGGACAAAGGCCAACTGCCCTTTTCACGTGTAAAGCTCCAGTCCCTGTTTCTAGAAACAGAAAATACTCAAAACCACACACAAACACTGCTGTTCAGAAAGTCATATTGTGCCACTGTGGCTGTGAAAGGATTATATGCAGTTACGTATTTCCAGTTGTCTAAACCTGAAAAATGCCACAGATTTCACTTTTCCCCCTTAGCAATAAATCACTGGCCCAGTACTCATCCTACAAACAGAAGAAGGTGGCATCTTCACTGCAGCTTGCATAAGAGATGAACTAAAAGCATTTCCAACTGCTTAATATATATATTTCCATGGATAGGCTCTGTCTTCTTGCCTTAGTTTTCTTTACCTGCTGTGGTATTTTTCTGCAGGGTAAGATAAAGCTTCCCTTACATCTGAATTGGCAGCAATGAAGTTTTAGCCAATGGTATTGCTTTTCCCTTCCCTCCCCCCACATCTTGAATCCTAGTTTCTAGGTCACTGCTACAATAAATAGAACAAAACTTCTTTTTGTGAATAGGTAAAACACCCTAGAAGGGACTTTGGTTGGCTCTGACAGCTTTAGTTTTCATCAGGCTGATTGCCATGCCTGACGTCAGTGCTGAAGTCAACATTCTTTGAAAGAATGGAGCACAGCTCCCGTGAGCTGGGGTGTTCAGCCTGGAGCAAAGGAGGCTCAGTGGTGACCTTATTGCTCTCTACAGCTACCTGAAAGGGTGTACCGTGATGGGGGTCTGTCTCTTCTCCCAGAAGTGACAGGACAAGAGGAAACAGCCTCAGGTTGGCCCCAGGAGGTTTAGACTGGACATTAGGAAAAAATTTTTAATGGTAAGAGTTGACAAGCATTGAAACACCACATATGGATGTGGTGGAGTCACCATCACTGGCAACACTCAAAAAACATGTGAATGCCACTCGAGGACAGGGTTTGATGGTGAACATGGTGGTGGTGCTGGGTTAACAGTTGAACTTGATGATCTGAGAGGTCTTTTCTACCCTTAACAGTTCTGTGATTCTAGGAACAGTTAAGTGGTATCTCTGAAATTCTGTCTCAGCTCAACATCTTCAAGTGGTCTAGCATCAAAGGGGTGTTTTTCTGAGGCCTGTCCATTGCCATTTAGTACTTAGATATTTTTGTTTCAGTGATGCCTATCATTATTAGTCCTAATGGTACACTTAAGATGCCAAAGTTTTTTGGTAATAAATCATTAGTGTAAAACAGTAGTAACCCTCAAAAGTATGAGGTATTTTGATACTGATACACTGTCTAATTGAGCAAAGACTCAGAACTTTCCTAGCCAAGACAACATTTTTTTTCACTTCAAAAATAAATATTTAAAAGTAGTTATCTAGAAATTTAGCAGCTTCATTCTGAAGAGATGAAAATCTCATTCTCCCACTAATCAGCACTGGATCCAGTCCTGATTTATCATTCCAAATGGCGACTGAAATGCATACACAGAAGAACATGACTTGGCAAACAAAAGTATTGCAGAATATGAACACATTACTAGGTTATTTCAGCTGAAGACAAGAGATAACCAAGCTCTCAAACATGTCCATTGTCAACAAAACCACTGTCCAAAACTGAAGGCAGGGTAAGAACTTCAGCCACTGAGTGGCAAGTTAGGCCTATGGGAGGAACAGACAAAATTCTAGAAGAATTCCAAACACTTGCTCAAATTTTACTAAAACATTAACATTGTTGCTAATACTCATTTCCCAAGATACTAATAACATGAGAACAAATTATCCAAGCTATGTAGTCATGCAAAATATTAGGCTTCTTTATTCAGTATTTAAGTTATTCTGAATATACAAACAATTAGCCAGAATGATAAAGTGAGAATAACCAGTATTTCTGCAGATTTACACCCATAACACATTTCAGTTAACGTTTTCTGCATGCTCCTGGAACACATTCAGTTGTTTTGCTCTGCATTATATGCAAGAAATAGACAAGTGCTTTCACTCCAAACAGAAGCAAAAAAAGTTACCTTTCATTAGCATGATCTGTGCTGTTCACGGTTCCAAAATTATTTACACACACCAGTTCACTAACACTGCAGAGTAACATACCCTTCCCAGAGGAAAAAGCAGCTATTGTTTCACCTCTTCCTTAGCATGGACAAGTGAAGTAAGTGACAATCATGCAAAAAACTTTTCACATTAACATTGTGATAAAATACTTAAAAGGTGAGGGAATATGATCTGTGAAGCAGTAATAAAAGACATGATAGCCACTGCTGATCTCTCTCTCTGCACACGTGGCAATTTAATGAACACGATTTGCCTTGCTGTCTAATACTGCAGTTCTCTTCCCCCTTATCCTTTGACAGGAAATGGCCTGGAAAACAACTTGATTTTCTAGTTACCTGCCAACATCCAAAACTGTAGGAGCAACATTTCTTTTAAGGTGGAGTATTTCTAGGTATCTGCTTTCCACAGACTGACGAACAGAACAGCTCCTTTCTGCAGTTAAAGCAGCCACTTCTTGTCTCATCAATCAGAGGTTAATACTCCCAGATTTAATACATATAGTCTCTCCCAAACTTCTTTGGCATCTATGAAAACTCCAGTATTTTGAAGGTAGCTGCTGGCATCATACAGGAGCCATACATTTTCTTTAGCTTCTGAATCTGTTCCCATTTAATTAGGGCAAAAGATTCCAACAGACACCTCAATTTCAATTCTGGGGTAGGTCTTTATTCTCTGGGGGTGGGAGGGGATCTTCAGAACCAGTCTGGAAATCTCATCTTTTGGTATCATCTGACTCCATTTCTTCTGACCACAATAGTTCCTGCCACAATATCGTAGGCTGTTCTGTTATGCTGGAAAAACAGCAGTGTAATAAATGCAGGAAAAAATGACGCAATAGAAAAATTCTTGATCAAAGCTCGTACTGTGGACCTGAAATGAGAATAGAACATTCAGTGCCTTATTTTCACTTTTCTGCTTATGTTAGTAATTAACTTCCAAGTTTAGTGCCTCGGTTTTGCACAGTACAAAGATCAATCTCTGGAGGAGATTTTACCACCTAAACTGAAAAACATTCAGTGTGATTGAATAATTACCATTTTACTCTTAGATCACACAATCTGACAATAGCTCTTGCAATCTAATTATTGCAAAGGTCAACAATAAAGCAATGATGTATTTCCTCCCAAATCACACGCTTTCAACACTGTTAATCTGAGTGCAACGTGACCGAGCCAAGAGCACTTACGTTGTCATACTGACATTGGAGGATGGAATGACTAACACTCGGCTGGGCGCAATAAGTACAGAGGTGTCACATGTCACAACTCGCAGTCCAAGCAAGAATTTCCCTGGGGTTGCTCCACCTGCTCCCCAAATACAGATTATCTGTAAAAGAAAGGTTATTTCAATTCCACACACCACCATGTGGTTGACAGGTCTAGCAAACTTGGTTATCCTCACAACTACGTGGATGTCATAAGCTTCAGCATAATCCAAAATACTGTAAAGAGGATTTACTTTATAGGTCAATGGTGACAGAATTTTTTTAAAACCATTTCTTAACAACTGACAACTATTAATTATAAGAGTTAGTGCTTATGCGTACTTACCTCATAGAAGCAGACTAATAACCTGTAGATGAGAGCTACTATCATCATTTTCTGCAAATCTTCCATGGATGTGTCTTCATCTATTTCCTCTATGATGTAATGCATGGCAAATTTAGAGATGTCCCTGTGCAAAATAAAACTGAACTTCAAAACCATCCTCTCAATACCAATGTTGCCCCTTTAATACTACAATTCACTCCTTCAGTTCTGGTATTAGCAGAAGAACAAAAGCTCCTTGGCTCTCTGATACTAAACAAGCCATTAAAATTCAGAACACTAGGTTTCCTTCCGAGTTGCTGCCTAGCTTGTTTTGTCTTTTTCATTATGAAAAGATCGCTCTTTATTACCACTTTTGCACAATGGTATCCCTGGGTAGTGAGCTGCGGAATTGTTCTGAAAATTCTCACACTTCTTGGGAGGTAAACAGATTCTGCGGGTGATCATCTAACTTTGTATAAATGGAAGGTATCCAAGTCTCCAAGTCTCTTCCTTACAGAAAGTCTCAACAAAAAAGAACACTTCTCTACAAACACAAGGGAGAAGATGCAAGCAGGGGAGCCCTATATTGTCCTTTGCATGATCAGGGTTCCTCATTCTCAGCAGTCTTTACTGCTCACCATACTCTACTGGAGGAAGGCACTTTGGTATGCAACAGGAAGATTTTAACTGAAAGCAATCAAAACCTTCTGGTTTTTATCCTAGCAGAGCTATGTGAAGCATCCATTTTGAGTTAATAGCATATTTTCGCAAGATAAACTCCACATATTTAACATTCTTATCTGACACCTGGAATGGATATAACTGCAACATTTTTAGGCAAGAGCTTTTCACTCATGAATCTGAGACTCACATAAAAGCGTGTAGTCCCACTTCCAAACAGTCCATCTTATATTTTTACTACTTATCCCCCTCTTTATTCAGACTTAAGGATTGAAAAGGAATTAAGAAAACAGTGTAGCACAACCTGCATGTCCCTTCAATACAGCCTTGACCTGAAGTTTCTTTCTTGAGCCTGAGAGGAGGTATTTTTTTCATGACAACTCAGCCTAACCTCAACCTCACATCTCATAAGCAGAACCATCCCCCCACCCTGCTGTTTCTCTGAAGTTCCTTGTAAGCAACACTTACTGGCTCTCACAAAACCAGTAACATTGAATGTGCTGTACATTACACCTTCACTGCTTTACAGAAGCAATATACACATAGTTGTTCCCCATCTTTCCAGTACTTCATTTTGTATCATTATCAGGCTACTAAAACCAAAATGGAAACACAAGCTGTCAGGTTACAGTTGGAGGTTTTGGCAACTAAAGAGAACTGAGATTTTGGCATTTTAATTGCTGCTTATCTGAACAAAACCCACTGATTGCTTCCACCTACATATTTATAGTTTTGGATTTGACCCTCTTTCACACACCTTTCAAACTGCAATTAAAGGCACCTGGAAAATACTGTCTGTACAGTAACACTTTATGGTCAGTCAGTGTTTGGATGGCTCTTAAGCAGAAAGCTCAGGTTCTGAAATGTGTTTGCACAGGAATGCAATTACTGACTACACCAACTATTGACTACTCATCTCTTAATCAAACTGAAATAATTGATTACCTCAACCCAAAGCAGAATAACTAAATGAGTTGAAGAATAAGATAGCTACAGTTAAAGAAGCAGATAAAAAAAGTCTTTGAGGTAAAGTATTACATCTGTGTACAAAAATATAAAATGAAGAATCTTTTGGTCTAGTGCACACTCAATGTTTAATTGTAGTTTTTAAGAACCCAAATTTACACCCAGTAAAGCCTGCAGTGTGGTTGCATTCCTAGCAATGAGGCTGCATTTTCTAGTACATACATATCTGATATGCTTGATCAGATTTTTTTTTTTTTGGTGTAGGTTAGCATTGTTTAGGTTAGAAATCTAAAAACACAGCACCTTAGAAGATGCTGTGAACAAATTTAACTCCATCACAGCCAGATCCAGTACATTTTAAAATGCTGTTTAAAAAGACAAGTTTATTTGTCAATGTTTTTTCTTTGAAAAATATAAAGGACTTTTTAACAATCTTGCTATTGCCCACCCCTAAGTAAGTATGCAACTCTACTCTGTCCGTAGTAAGGAGTTTGTGAGCCTATACACCTGTACAAGTTCTTTGCTTCCATCAGCAGACCCAAAAATCAGGACATATTTAAAAGGAGGTTAATCTAGCGATGCTTTTTCCTTAACTTCTGTCAGTTATTCAATGCCCAAGTGTACCATAAATACAACCTGACGCTTCAAAGAGCATGAAAAGCTTAAAGTTGTATAGAACAAAGCTTTAAATTGTTCAACTTACTTTATTCCACTGAGGTGCATAATACTTAAAATGATGGTTGCCTTTATAAAGAACAGAATAAAAAAATCCACCATCTCTGCTATGAACCTGTGTGCCAACGAAGGGATAAGGAACTCCCGACCTGTAACAGAAATAGTTAATATTACCCAGATTTTACTGAACTAACACAGTTAACACTATCAGCCAAAGAACACTCCACATTAACCTTTCTGCAAGTACATACTCAAGATCTTGATCTTGGCTCACATCTTCTTCAAGAAAATTTTTTTATACATACATTTTTAGAAGTTACCTGAATTGTTTAAATTGAGTTAAAAGAGCCTTCTTAAATTAAATTCTTTCAACCTGTGAGTCCCCTCATGATAAGGATTACAGGCAAAATCATACTTTGCTAAAGAACTGAAGTGCATTGAAGATGCATGAAATTTTGTGTTCTTTTATTTAGAATAGCCTCATAGAGAAGTAAATCTGAGAGGTCAGATAAAAGACAAATTAGATCTTAGATCTACCACAACTTTTCTACTGCTCAACAGCAAGGCTTCCATGTGTACCAAGTACCAGCTCTCAGAGTAAACCACAGCATATTTTGTCCCCACTCAGACACAAACAGGAGCGGATGAAAATATTAGTCATACTTGACATAAACATTCCTATAGACTACTTACAAATAAAGCACAGCATGCTGCTCTACCCCCAGCCAGAAAATGTACCACGTTTCTCCTGCGTTAATTGGCAGAGTGCAAATGGGTACAAAGTAAGTAGTCCCAGTTACAAGACCTTGTTGCTAATGCTACCTCAGGTGATTAAAGCAGAGAAAACATTAAAGAGTGTCTTAGAAAGTTTCCACGGAATACTGTGGCAAAACAATTTCGTCTGGACCCAACTACCACCCCTCTATTTCCCAAAGGACGAATACAACTCTCACACGGAATCTGCAAGGACTCACATCAAAACTTCACCCAAAGTACTCCTCGAATTAACCTACAGGAAATAGTTACTGGGTTTGGTATTGTTTCTGAGAACAACTACCCCACACACAGGAAAACAAGAAAAGAGGAAAGAAAATCATTCCAATTTGAAAAAACATCATCAAATTTCACTTTGAATGAGCCTCCACAGTCCAGCTGCTGAGGCTGATCCTGCCAGTCGTGGCCCTGTGAGCAAAGAGGGCCAAGACAAAAGCCCACAGCGCTCGGGCGCTTTCTAAGTGGGGTAAGTAGAATCAAGCAGAGATTAGGTAAGAGCCAGCTCTTATTTAACATACCTTGTTTGTATATCTTTGTTTCATACCTGCTGCACCAATAATACCTCTGCATCTATAGTATCAAGTAGCATGACTCTTATATATATAATAATAAAATTCCTCCCCATTGTCAAAGCCTGCCCAAGTTGTCCATTAAATTCTAAGATTATTCAGCTAAGTCAAGTGGGAGCATAACCAGACTCCCAGTCCTGGCCTGAGCACACAGCAACAGCCAACAGCCTTCATTCGCTCTGTTAAAAGCAGCACCTTTGTTGAAGTTAGTGGCAGAGATTCACTTGAATAAATAAAATTCAATGACTGCATAAGGAAGAAGCTACGTGGGGCTAAGAATATAAATATTCAAATTTTGTTAAACTCCATTACATTAAGAAACCTTGGCAACCCTTAAGACTCTGGCAGATCTACACTGCAGTGATTCAAGATGTTCCTCATATTAGAAATCCACTATTTTGCCAAGGGTTGCTGTTTGTATGGCAAGGACAGCCAAATGCAACATCCATCCAGCTCAAAGTATAGGATTTTACATCAAGATTAGTACTAAAGATGTGTTTGCACCAGTCAGCCACAGGGCAGCTGGGGCTTGGATGCACTTTTTGCCCTGCTGTTCCCAGCAGATGAGCAGCAATCTCCTGCAGCAAGGCAGGGAGGGGCAAGGCGAGGATGAGTCTTAAATCGCGATGACCGCGCTGTTAATACTGGTGCTCTGGCACACACCTGCAGGCAGGCTGAAGAGGGACAGGCAGTTGACAATCCCACTTTTTGACATCCCAGTTTAAAATCTGCAACATTAACATAAGCTGTCACTTGTTTCAGCTTACGTAAGCAGACTGGGCTGTAAACTGCAGTGGCACAGGGCCTGCCCTGCCGAGCCTGCTGTGTGGGCAATAATCTACGGCAGGAAAGAAGGAACGGTAATCACTTTAGCTGTTCCAGATATATCCATCTGCAATCTGAAGCCAAAGCACGGGCACAACAGTCGTCGTTTGTAATTGTATTGTACCACTGTATCCCACACAGAGTTCCCTTAGGAAGGCCAAGTGTTGCAACAGTATGTGTAGTATTCCAAATAACCACAGTCAGCAGCATGAAATGCTACTGAAGCCCTAAATTACCTTTAACACATGGAATTAGCTCCTGAAAAACTAGGTAAAAATCCAAGAATAATTTCATTCTAGCCTTTGTCCATCTTCTCTTTTTTTTAAGGACTGGCAGTATGTGTTCATAAGCAATCTGTAACTCAGAATCAGAGCACAATTACAGAAAGTACTACTTTGTGTTATAGCCATGTTTAAGCAGCATCTGCTCAAGACATAAGAAAGAAGCAAGTTCAGAAGCTAGATCCCCTTCCCCTCAAAAGAAGGGAAAAGGAACTAAAACATTTTTCAAACACACACAGCCACTGAGCTTATAAATAATGTTACAGATCAGTAATGTCGTGCTTTGCCCTGCAGAGATAAAGGAGATCTGGCTTTTCTCCAAAATCCTTCACCAGTGCTCTGCTTCACAGTCTCCTACCATTATTCGAGGTGTTACGGAAAAATTCAGGGAATGTCACTTATATGTTCCTCGACTTGTGAGGCTCCAGGTTTTACCTCTGACGTGATCAGGGCAAGTTTGCCTTACTCTTGAACAAATATAAACAGAAGGTCTGCTGTGCACTGCCGTCATTATTTACAGCTGTAACAGACTTTTGTTTATCTCCTGCCACCAGCTTGTTCAATGTCAGCGTGCTTTCACTTCTCTGCTTCGATTTCATTAAATGATTTTATTTGAGGACTGAGAGCCGGCTAAAACAAGTAAACTTAGTTTAGATTTCATCATCTAAACAGGCTGCTTATAAGTCTTAGATACATTACAAGCCCGTGACGGTAAGATTAAGTTCCACCAGAAAAGAAAACAACTCCTTCGTATCCACGCAAACATCTTGCAACCAACTTACACGCAAACCAACCCTCCCAAACCTGATTACGGATCAAGCTCTGGATGCACCACCTCGGCATTAGGGCCGTCACCCTGTGTCCCAAACCTGCTCACGGGCCAAGTTCTGGCTCCACCACCTCGGCGTCAGGGCTGTCACCCCGCGGCACAGCCACAGGCCCGGGCCCGCCGCACACGGCAGCGCAGCGACCCCCACCGTCGCACACCGCCGGCTCCCCCCTACAGCCCCCGGCTCCTGGGGCCGCTCACCCTTCTCCCCACCCCTGCCCCACTCACCTGCCGGCCGCCCCGCGTCCCTGGGGGCAGCGCTGCCGCTGGTGCCGGCGGCGCTGCCGGAGCCCGCCCTGGGCACGGCGGACACCGCGCCCGCCGCCCCCGGCCAGGCTGGGGAGGCCGCACCGGGGGCGCGGGGCCCCGTCCCGGCGGGGGCCGCCTGTGGGGGCGGCGGAGCGCAGAGGTAGAAGGGGCTGTAGCAGTAGTAGGCGGCGGCGGCGGCGGCGGCGGCGCTGGCGCTGGGTGCGGGCGGCTGGGCGGCGGCGGCGGCGGCGGCGGCGGCGATGAGGGCGGGCGGGCAGCCCTGCCAGCCCAGGTAGCCGCAGTACGAGTCCCACAGCCACTGGTGCACGCGCCGCGCGTACTCCGCCGCGCTCAGCGGCTTCGCCCCGCCGCCCTCCGGAGCGCAGCGCGGCGGCGCCGAGGACGCGGCGGAGGAGGCGCCGGCGATGTCGCCGTCGTTGCGGCTGTCGTTGTGGCTGGTGTTGTGGCTGGCGCTGTCCTCCCCCCCGGCGGCGCTGCCGCCCCCCGCCATCGCCGCCGCCGCCCCAGCGCCGGCCCGGCCGCGCTCCGCCGCCGCCTCCTCCATCGCGGCGGGCGCCCAGCGCTCACCGCGCGTGCGCGGGGGAGGTGCCGCGCCTCTCCCACTTGGAGGGGCGGAGGGGGGGGGGAGGAGCGGCACGCAGCCTGGCGAGGAGCGCGCCACGCCCGGAAAGAAACGGCCTTTACACCCCCCACCCCTCTCCTCCCCCGTCCTGCACGGGAGATGGTATGGCCGGGCGCTGTGACGGACGCGGCTTGCCCGGGGTCCGAGCCAGCTCATACGGAGACTGCACAGGAAAAAAACCCAAAAACACCCCACAGAATCAATTTAGGTTGGAAAAGACCTCTGAGGTCATCGAGTGCAACCTATGACCAAACACCACCGTGTCGGCTAGACCATGGCACTGAGTGCTAAGTCCATAGTTTCCCTAAGAACCTCCAGGGACAGTGACTCCACCACCTACCTCCCTGGGCAGCTCATTCCGATATCTAATCACCCTTTCTGTGAAGAAATACCTTCCAGTGTCCCACCTAAACCTCCCCTGGCGCAGCTGAAGACTCTGTCCTCTCGTCACTTGTTACTTGGAAGAACAGACCGACACCCACCTGGCTACACCCTCCTTTGGGGTAGTTGTAGAGAGCAATAAGGTCTCTCCTGAACCTCCTTTTCTCCAGGCTAAACAACCCCAGCTCCCTCATCAGCTCCTCATAGCACATACGCTCCTCAAATGCTGAAGAAAGAACCGGCTGCAGGTTTAAACACAGTTCTCCAAACTAATTTTTATTCTTGAAGGTTTCTGTGTACTATCAAGCATCTCAACCAGACTGCAGGTGCTGTAGAACACTGATGTTAACACAGCTCACAGTGAAGTAACGAGTGATGTATACTGTGAATAGAGAGTGTTTCCCACGTTGAACACAGCAAATATCACAGCTGAACAAAAACCAGAAATTTCTCCCTCACCCTGTTAAACTATTTTCCCAAACTCATTTAAAAAAATAAAGTAATTTCATAGAATCATAAAATGGCCTGGATTGGAAGGGACCTTAAAGATCATCTAATTCCAATCTCCCTGCCATGGGCACGGATGCCTTCCACTAGACCAGGTGGCTCTAGACCCCATCCAACATGGCCTTGAACACTTGCAGGGATGGGACATCCACAGCTTCTCTGGGCAACCTGTTCCAGTGCCTCACCACTCTCACAGTAAAGAATTTCCTCTCTATATCTAACCTAAATTTCATCTCTTTCAGTTTGAACCCAGAAGTTCCTGTGGAGTGAGTCTCTTCATACAAGCAAGCTGAGGAGAATTGCCCAAATGCTTAGCAAGTGACCCATACCACCTTAATTAAATGCAGTTACATAAGGAACTGGCACTCATTATGTAGCTATGGTTCTAATTACACTGGCATATGTTTTTCTAACATAGACCTTGGTGAAAAATGATTTGGGAAACATAGCAAGTTTTAGCATGATTAGGAAGAAAGAAAGGAGGGAAGATAGACTAGTGTATAGAAGTAAACATGGTTTTAAACCATCTATTAACCTAATAGAAAAACTATAGCAGAAAACTGACAGTAAATGTAGCATAACAGAGCTTCTTTCTTTATAATATTTTGCCTCTTCCTTCATCAGTTACAGTCTATTTAATTTTTTTTTTTAATTTGCTTTTTACCACAGACCTGTCAGGATTGAAGAGTATCAGGCCCTTTTTCTAAAATATCTGTGTGTGTGTGTGTGTGTGTGTGTGTTGCTACAGGTTTGGAAAGCCAGATCAGTTCTTAAGGTACAATTTCAAGATCTCAGAGTCTTCATATAATGCTGCCACTCACATGTAAATTTTAGGCTCACCAGCAGCAGCATTACTCAGGCATAACCGGTTAGAATTCACTATGTGATTATACTGGACAGTCAAGGTGAAACAAAATCACTGACAGCAGAGATCAGGAGGCTAACAGGTAACAGTGCAGTATTTCCTCAGGCCTAAATTTTTCATTTATCACTTTTTCATTCTTCTGCCTTAAAAAACCCCAAACCCATGAATGACCCACAAATTCTGCTAGCATTCAGACTTTTCTATTCAGGGATGCATCTGACAGAGATGCTGTAACAACAGGGCTTGCCAGGAGTGAGAAACTTAGAGCTTAGGCTTTTGATGACAAAGGGTCTTGTTCCACTGCTGTGTCAGATTGCCACACATGGCAGTATTTATAGTCTTCTGCAGCACTGATTTCTCGCTGCTTAACTTTGCTTCCTCTTGTGAGCAGAGTCAGAAAGGCAGATAAGCTTGGGCAGCTCATTGTAGCGGTTGATGAGAATAAGTGGTTGAATGCCTCAGCAGTTAAATATCCTCTTCTCTAGAAATGAGATTTGGGCAAGAGGAAATGTTTTGCACTAGATCAAAAGAGGGAGGTAAGCACCTAAAAGCTGTTTTATTGCAATAGTTAAGGTTTAAGGGGAATCTGGAATCCCATCTTAAGCTCTTTGAGTATGGATAATGCTGAAAAGCCTCATCAGTCACACTTGAGCAGGCAATCTTTTATAGTCAATAGGAAGTGATAGAACACTGGTCTGCTGTAAATCTAGCTGTTGTTCAGAGCCACAGGCATGCATCTTTTCTCAATTTTGATATGCATTTTAGCATCTTGTTTTCAAGGGTTTTAAACCATTTTTAAAACCAAGGAATCGCTGAAGCATTAAAGTTCAGTTCCTTCCTTTGCTTGGGGCATACAGATCACACCTCCTGCATCATGCTGAAATGTTCTAATAATAGGAGTTCTTCTGAAGAGTCCTTGGATGAGAGTTGTTGGACATTAATCAACAACAAGCTCTTGTCATTCCAAAGTGGTTAATTATTGTTGTGCCCAGCAGCCTACATATATATGTGCTATTTACACATTTGTATCAAGTATATATATGTTCACATATGGAATGAAATTATATGCAGATGTTGGTCAAAGAGTTTCTTCATCACTGAAACATATAGAGTGAGTCACCAAAGAGTAAGAACTTGTTGGAGCAAGCAGCCAGATATAGAACAGGAAACTTGAGCCAAAACCCCCAAATTTACAGAACTCTAAAGTAAAACATGACACATTTAGTGTGGCAAATGGCACAACTCCTAAATTATATCTGCTTAACCTTTCACTCTTAAAACTGATCTGTCTCATTCATCTAAGGAATTTGAAGGAGAGATTGGCTCTAAAAGCTTACAGTCCACTGAGAGGCATTTTCTTTCTAATAGAGGCAACTTCAAGTGTAATACGGAGAAAGCAGAATTCTAGTGGTCACAGCTGATAGAAGGGCCATAGCAAATCAGCTGGAGGAAAAGAAAAGAAACTTCACAACTTTTATATTAGGGTACACAAGTTACTCTTGTGTACCCTAATATTTACTGTTTACTAGTACAGTCTGTTTTAGGAGTCATATGTAAATACCTATATTTACCTTTTACCTTGGCCCTGTTTAAATGAAGAGCAACCAGAGAAAACAGCTTTATTCAGGAGTGTGGCACTCAGAGGCCTTACCAGTTATATAATTCCCTATTGCGTTCTTTTCTGTTCCCAGGGAGGAAATATGATTGTGCCTCTGCTGAAGCAGGAGTGGAATTAGGGCTTTGGAGACTAAGAGTCTTTGGTGGTCAGTGGTGATCAGGTAGGGACCTCAGAGTGCAGCGAGACTTAGGGAAGCAGGGTTAAGCCTAGGAAATCACCACTGAGTTTTGGGTGGTGGAGTAGCGAATGTTCTCTGTTCTTCTACAAAAATTTTGGCACACAAAAAGATTTTTCAGGAATATTTCAACCATAAAAAAGGAGCAGGTTCTTGTTTTCTGGTAGTCAGAACATTCCTTGGGGAGCTTTATTTATTTTATCTAATGACAGGGGCATTTTTATGCGCATCTTCTGAGGGCAGTAGCTACTTCTGGACAATATTTTCACAGCAGGTGGGCACAGATCACCTCCAGAAGGGGAACTGAATCTGATTTGTATGTTCTTGATAACTGCTGTGCTTGCTGGCATATCATGTAGTTGAGTAAACATGACCTCCATTTGTCTGGGAGCAGCTGCTTCCACATTTTAGAAGCAGCCCAGTTGAACTGCACATCAGGAGAATGTGCTAAGGGTGTGTACTGAATTGAGCCCCTGAAGGATTCCAAATGGATAAAGGAAAGCCGTGATGCACAGGCTGATGAACACATAGTACAGTAACATTGAATTCCCTAGGACATCGAAAAGATTCCTGTTTTTCAAATGCAGACTTGAAATTACTTACTTCCTTATTTTCAATAGCTCTGTTAAATATTACTTTTAAGTTTAATCAACTATTTTTTTAAAATGTGCTTTTAATGGATATATGCTTAGCAGTGTTAAAAACCGAAAAAAGTAGTTGCTTTTTCCTTTTCTTTGTTCATCCCACTCAAACCTCCTCGTTTCATCAAGAAGATAATTTCAAAATCAAAGAAATATTAAACGTTTTCACCGTGACTTTTAGAGGGCAGAAGTTCCTTGGCAAAGAGCATTCGTCCAAACAGCAAACGTCCTCTGTAAGCGGTGCAGACCAGCAGTTTTTCATCTAAAGCTTACGAGGGCCTCGGTTGTTTCCTGCCATCTGGTGGGTACTTGGAGTCACTACCTCGATACTTCTAATTTTCACTTAGTAACCAATATTCTAGTCAGCTAAGCAAGTGTCACAGAATCACAGAAGCGGTGAGGCTGGCAGGGACCTCTGGAGTCCCTCTAGCCCAAACCCCCTACCCATGTGGCTTTTGAATGCCTCCAAGGATGGAGACTCCACCACCTCTCTGGGCAACCTGTGCCAGTGCTCCACAGGAAAACAGTGCTTCCTGATGTTCAGAGGGAACATCCTGGGCTTCAGTTTGTGCCCATTGCCTCTGGTCCTATCACTAGGCACCACTGTAAAAGAGACTTGCTCCATCCCCTCTGCACCCTCCCTGCAAGTATTTATACACATTGACAGATCTTCCCTGAGCCTTCTCTTCTCCAGTCCCTGCTCTCTCAGCTTTTCCTCCTGGGAGAGATGTACCA